ATGAGAAGGCAATGCTGTGACAAATTGACAGAAACTTGAATTGATCGATTCATTCACTTCAAAGTTGGACAAATTTTTCACACAATTGATCATTTGCACCTGAAGGTAAGTAAAATAATGCTGCTGTTTCTGCTATAATAAATATGCAGTTGAACCATTACAAGGGCATTATTGTCTCAGATTATGAGTCGTGCTGATCAGTGATTGAAATTTGTTAACAGAAACTTGAATGCTGGTTGGCAAAATGTAAAACAAATGGTGTCACACAATGGTGTGACGGCCTATTTTGTTGAGGGGCATTTTGTTTTTTTACCCCAAGTTAAATAGATTTACTTGACCACTGCTTGGACTCATTTCAGAATGTATATATACCCTAATTAAGATATTACATATGTAATTTTACCTGCTGTACAAGTGTGTATGAATAAAATGTATTTTTTTTCATATTTCATAAATATTTTTCAGGTTAAATCAACTTGTACAGTTTAAAATTGTAGTTGATATCACATTTCAAATACACTTCACATACAAAACTAAAATTAGCTGGTGGTAGCCAAGTATAGTAATGCCATTACTATATTATTTTGGATGACAATTGTTATTTAAACAGTCAACGTTTCCAGTTTTAAAAAAATATTTACATAATACAATATTCAAAACAAAACTGTGCATATGAAGGTAAATGCCACTTTTTTTTATCCTAAGGGTGGACATCTGGGCATTTTCACCGCCTGGCAACCATCACGGTGAAAGCAAAGGCCGAAAACGCCCAGAAAACCGTATTTTCGATAGTTGTTGAGACTCTATTAACCAGTATAACAAGATTACCCCTGTATGTGCAACATATATACATTTGGTTGCTCAGGATTACTCCAAAGTTGAGTTTGTGTTGTTTCCTCAGCTTCAGCCTTTTTCATCAGCTCTTCGACCGGTGTTCCACAGCAGCTTGCGCAGAGCCCATAGAAATATATGGTACAGTGGTGCACGCCTTAGAACTTAGAATGTTCTGTGACAAAGCTTCGCCTTGAGGATAGCTTGACATGGTCAGTATTGGTTACAATTAAAGGGTGGTGATATAGTTGCGCCACACATGTGCGAAAAATGGGTCTCGTATAAACAAAGATGGCGACTTTGACTATTGCACAAACCAACAAGCACAAACTGCAAATATTACCAAGATTTAACGAGGTAATTTCTCTGGTGATTGGAAGATATCCAAGGAGTCATTGACAGTAATTAGTGCACAACACGCTTAGGTCAAAACTCGCACTCATCATTTCCAGTAAAAAGCGCATTGGATATTGTGGGAAAATCTATGTTGTACAAATGGTGAAAATCAATGCAGAAAATCAGTTTAAAATCTTGCCAGGCCTCGCCTGTAATCTGTTTTCTTTACAGAGAGAATTTTCCACACAGCAAAATATTTGAAAGTACATATTATTATAATAAATCACCGACAATGCCATCTATCACACAGGCATAAAAATCAACAACAAAAATATCAGAAAATTGAGCAAAAATTTTCCCCCTGATCCAGCCAGGTCAACATTAAACTAACAAACTAAACAGGAATCAAATATCAGCAGCTCATATGGAAAATACTGACTCCTTTTATATATAACGTATACAATATTTAGAGTTGTCTGAATAAAGAAGGTCAAAGATCATACATGTGGGTACAGCCCAGCAGCAAAAACATTACTTGCCAAGTGATTAAAAATCATGAATATTCATGAGATAAAAATCGCTGAAATATGGAAATCTAAGTATCGGTAATCATGCAGTTGTGAGATCTTTGTTCTAGATTTTACATTTAAATAACATTTTTCTGGAATACAGTAATTTATATTTTCAGTGCATATTGAAGAACATCAACTGATATTCCAATGAGCATTTGTCACGGGTGATCAGTAACAAAATCTAGCAAGTATTGAATCATTTCAGATTTGAAATAAAGATACTTTTTTTTCACCAATTTCAACATGATTGCATAAGTTCAAAGAAAGGGATATACATAATGATGAAATGTAATGTTATTAAATCTGAATAAATTACAGTTATAGAGTAATGCATGCTGCAAGAAATAAAAAGTTATGAGAAGAAAATCAATTTTCTTTTTAAGAAACCATGATATCATGGCTGAAAAATAAAAAAACTAAGACTGACACAAATTTAAATATTTATCTTACAGTCTTGTATATAATTTTATTCCAGATGATAGGGGAAGGGAGGATACAATAGACTTTATATTATGTATATTTACGGAAGTACCCCGGTACTAGTATATACATGTATACATACTGGTATATAGTGAAATCTGGCTATATACTACAGTCAAACCTGTGTATAGTGACCACCCAAGGTACTCAAAGAAAATGCCTTTTATAGACCGGTGGTGATTAGATTACTATTGATTAATGAAGACAAAAATGACATTAATTTCTCAGTTTATGGAGAAATTTGTCATCAGATATTTGAAAATCGAGAATAAATAAAAATATGCTTGTTTTTTTTTTTGATGAATTGAAAATTTAATTGTAGAAAATGAGTATGAAACACTATAATCATCATTTTGGCCTTTATACCAAGATTCATTTGAACAAAATTAGTGCCAATTTAAAAGAACAGTCACTGGTCACATTAGACATGTGGTCTTTATATGCAGATCACTTTACATTTTAAACTGCAATGGGACTGCACAAAGGTGGTCATTATGGACAGGTGGTCTTTATATACAGATCACTTTACATTGGTAACTGCATTGGGACTGCACAAAGGTGGTCACTATGGACAGGTGGTCTTTATATGCAGATCACTTTACATTGTAAAGTGCAATGGGACTGCACAAAGGTGGTCATTATGGGCAGGTGGTCTTTATATGCAGATCACTTTACATTGTAAACTGCATTGGGACTGCACAAAGGTGGTCACTACGGGCAGGTGGTCTTTATATGCAGATCACTTTACATTTTAAACTGCATTGGGACTGCACAAAGGTGGTCACTATGGACAGGTGGTCTTTATATGCAGATCACTTTACATTGTAAACTGCATTGGGACTGCACAAAGGTGGTCACTATGGGCAGGTGGTCTTTATATGCAGATCACTTTACATTTTAAACTGCAATGGGACTGCACAAAGGTGGTCATTATGGGCAGGTGGTCTTTATATGCAGATCACTTTACATTGTAAACTGCATTGGGACTGCACAAAGGTGGTCACTACAGGCAGGTGGTCTTTATATACAGATCACTTTACATTGTAAACTGCAATGGAACTGCACAAAGATGGTCACTATGGGCAGGTGGTCTTTATATACAGATCACTTTACATTGTAAACTGCATATATCAGGACTGCACAAAGGTGGTCACTATGGACAGGTGGTCTTTATATAGAGATCACTTTTCATTGTAAACTGCAATAGGACTGCACAAAGGTGGTCACTATGGACAGGTGGTCTTTATATACAGATCACTTCACATTGTAAACTGCAATGGGACTGCACAAGGGTGGTCACTATGGACAGGTGGTCTTTATAATCAGATCACTTTACACTGTAAACTGCATTGGGACTGCACAAAGGTGGTCACTATGGACAGGTGGTCTTTATATAGAGATCACTTTACATGTAAACTGC